CCCAAACGATAGTTTAGGTATTAGGATTGTTTGATAAATTGATAGACACCACGACAGTGGGTTTATTTAACCTTGTTGTTCAAGTTCTAGATTGGCTCTTATTACTTTCCTGAATAGTTGTGTAGCTCATGATCCCAAGTATCCCGATGAATCATCCTAAACCTAGCTCTCTTTAATCTGAAACCCAAATCAATTCTTGTTACTTGCTTTTTCCGTTTTCTTAATTTTAAAAACCCCATATTGTTTTAGCTTAATATTGATCCTATAATAATAAAGTGTAAAATTTGGTCTCTGTGGATTCGATCCTCAAGTACTACATTGAACCTCTTATTTGAGAGAGTAGCTTGAAGGTTAATTTGAGCATATCAACGAGTGGCGATACTTTGGAACAGACTGCAAGAACATTGTAGAGATAATCAATGATCATGCACATTTCGAGGATCTACAACAAGATGATTGCAGACGCCCTAGCTAGGATTGCTCGAGCTTTTCATAGAAATCTTGTTTTTATTAGTTGTTCTATCCCGGTCTGGGAATCCAGACCACTTCTAATTTGAGTGATTGAACAACCGTTTGATGTCAAAAAAAAAAAAGATGAAAAATGTTTGATAGTGAAAAAATTACTTAAACGTGGAATAAAATCAGGTATCTAAGTAGTCGTGGACTTTTGCTGAAATTCTTTTTGTTTATTATTTTTTTTAGTTTTTGCCATGTGTCAATAAATTTATTGGCTAGATGACTTGCGTTTTAGTATAGAGGAAAAATCATTTATAGTTTGTGGGTTAGTAATCTTTTTTTCTTGATCAAATATGTATGTATGTTAGAAAAATCTATAATCTATAAAATGAGCTATTTAAAAGCCTATAAAATTGGTATGTAGAGATTTAGACATGCATAGAGTTTAAACATTAAGGTCAATATTGTTGTCAATAATAAACAAAAAAAAAGTTGAAAAAAATGTTTTATTAAAAATTACGGGAGAAAAAAAAAAGCCTGCTTTAAAGTTGGAGACATGGAGGAGGGTACGATCAGTGGCGGAGGCAGGAACTTTATTCATAAGGGTCAATATTGGATTACATCTTAAAAAAAAAATCCATAAGGGTCAAAACTCTATTTTGATTAGGGTCAATATGATTTATTTGGTTAAAAATGATGTGTTTTATAAAATTTCATGGGTGTCAATTGACCCCCCTCCTTAGGCTCTACCTCCGCCACTGGGTACGATTGATCTCTGTTATCGACCCAGCCCAATACGATAATCCCTGCCTGGCCATATATATAAGATGAGGCATAAGAAAGAGATCGCTAACCCTAAACTAACAAAATGTCAGAAAAGCGGTTGTATGAGGAAATCCGATTCCTTATCCTGGACGACGACGACGACATACCTACACCTTTGGTGATAAACAAAAGTAAGATCTCTCTACAGATTTAGATTTCTAGGCGTCGATTCGTTATTGTATAATTATTTTAAATTGATCTAATTTTAATCTTTCTGTCTCGTCATAATTTTTTATTCATTATTCGTTGGCAGGCGGTAAGACAGTCGTCTATTGGGACGTGGCGGATTACCCAGTTCCTAAGGATGTTGATGATCTTAGTTCGCTTCATAGGCGTATAGAATCGATTCTTCTGGAATTGGGCTGTCAGGAGGTATCTGTTGTGGTTTACGTTTACAAGAATAGGTTTTCGGATGAAATGGAACGTAAATTTATGGATGCCAAAATCTTTGTCGATTTCTTACCCCAGGGTGAGTTATTTCTTTTTTTTTTATTTTACTTATACGTCTCCTCTGTATTTACTTATACATATTTTCCATTCCAGGGGAAGATGACTTTGCGAGAATGACTTGGATATTGGTGGACATTATTTGTTTGCCAGTGGTATTTCATAAACCAAATGTTATACTCTCAAAGGCCATGTTCGTTTCGTCATTTAACTGAGTCATTTGAATGGAACTGAGCATTTTGTTCGTTTAGGTACAAAATGTACTACACATCTGAATGGCTCAGTTGAATGATCTTCAAAAATCTAGTTTAAATTTTAAGAATTAGTCGGCTGAACCGAATCGGATCATTTGAATGGACTTGGTTCAGTTAAAATTTTGAAATGTCAATATTACCCTTGTTAAACTCTAATATTACTTTTTTCTAGAAACAAAAAGCTCTCTCTCTCCGTGTTCAAGTTTGAGCTCTCTCTCGCCGGATCTCTCTCTCTCTCTCGCCGGATCTCTCTCTCCGTCTGTCTCTCTCTCTCGCTTCATCTCACTCTCGCCGCATCTCACTCTCTCTCGGGTATCTCTCAATCTGGGTTTTATCATGATTGTTTATGATGATTGTTTGTTTTGTTATGGGTTTTATGATGATTGTTCATGGAAACGTAGATCTTGGATGATACGACGTCGCGTAGAACACTTTGTTCACTACGTTGTTGTTTCCTCCGCCGCTCATTTTCTTCTCTCTCACGGTGGCTCCCTCCGGCTAGTTTAGAGAAGAGAAAGGAGATAAAGTAAACGCCATCGTTTTCTGGATGATTCGTATTTAAGGCCCATGAGTGTCTATAACCCGTTTTGTCAGTATTCTTTAAATTTACGTAGGATCCACCCAAGGCAGAAGATAAATGCTGTCGTTTTAGTGGATTGTCATAACCCTTGTCAATATTATCTTACCTAGCACTCACCTACAGCGAGCGAAACTAAAACGTACTCCCTCTGTTCTACAATATAGGAGGATGTTTTATCCAAAGCACAAGAATTAAGAAACTTAATTTTTTAAAAGATAACATCATTGATAGTATAAATTTAAAATAATTTAATCAATCATAAATAATAAACTAAAATATCATTGGTGAACCGGTTTTCTATAAAGTTAAAGTACCTTAAAAATATCAAAACATCTTATATTTTGAAACATCAATTTTCTCTAGAACATCTTATATTATGGAACGGAGGGAGTAGTCTTTTAAATTTCAGTTTTATAAAACTTGAGTTTTTACTTTGTGTTTCTACTTTAAATGTTTATAAGTTTATTCAAATTTGAGTTTTCACTTTGAATTTTATTGGAAACTATAAATTTTAATGCAATTTAAATAAAGGAGTGAATGAATATATGATTTTTTATAAATTTATGTGAAATAAAAAATTATAAATTTATATGAAATAAAATTTTATAAATGTAAAAATGAGAATTTTAAAATAATTTTAGTGTAAATATATTTTATACTAAATAATATTCATTAGTAAAGTTAAAATTAATATCAAACATGTGATTAAATCAAAATAAGGGTACATTTGTGATTTGTTTATCAAACTCATTTGAATGGAAATAAAAAAACAAGAAACAAACATAAACTTTATTCAAATGGTTCATTTAAATGATTCATTTTGATGGAGAAACGAACAACCCTTTGATCAAAAAAAAAAACGAACAACCCTTAAAATGGAATTGAGCCATTTGGATGGATCACATAGATGGATTAGCTGAATGGAGATTACAAATGGACAAATGAGCAGGGCCAAAACACATGGACAGAGAGGCTGTTGATCATTTGGAAATCATGTATTCTAATGGTGTTGGTGTTCTCTTATCCAAAACTGAACCTGATTGGCTTGTTCCCAATGAAAATTCAGCCTTAGAACTGACAAGACTATTTGAACAATGTCTTCACTGTGATAAGCCGCATAAAGAGGGTACCCTTGCAAACTCTCTCGACTACCCTCCCGAAGAGGAGACAAATGTATCTTCTTGAAGTTTATGTTAAACTAGTATAGATCCCGTGCTATGTACGGATATATGTTTGCTTGCAAATAAAAGTATGGTTTATTTATATATAACTAAAATTACACGTAAAACAACTCTGATTTATCATAAGAAGATGAATAGACATATATACAAACCATTAACACACTTAAAAACACGTAAAACAACTCTGATTTATCATAAGAAGATGAATAGACATATATACAAACCATTAAGACACTTAAAAACTCCACAACTCTGATTTATCATAAGAAGATGAATAGACATATATACAAACCATTAACACACTTAAAAACTCCACGACATATATGAATTTAGATTAAATTAGTTATGTACGCAACTCTACAAGAAAGGAAACATAACATCTATATATAAGCATAAACAAACAAAAAGAAGGGCAACAGTGTAGTTACCATAAAATAAAAAAGAGAAAACAACATAATATATTGCTCTCGTTGAGAGTTGAACTCAAGACCTCCCGCTTACTAAACGGGTGCTCTAACCAACTGAGCTACGAGAGCTTCTTGTTAGGCAATGCTGCTTTTTATATACAATACGTGCACTAAAGTACTAACAGTACAATAAGCACCAATAACATAACACTAATACTTTTTCAAATATGTACAACATAACAAAAAGCCTCCACAGTAACATAACAAATGTAGTATCACTGTCTGTACAAACTCTCATGTCACCTTCAAAAGTATCTGAACAATAAGAATCATCACACATTATTTAATTAGTTCAGATTTCTTTAGAAATGACTTAACAAGTTATCATCTCCAAGCCGAACCACCACTACGCGATACGAAGTGTCTAAAGTCCGGTAACATAACCTTCAACCGCCTCAGCCACTCTTCAGCTTCTCGTAGCAAAGCCACGACTCTCTGGTTCTCTTCCACGTCGCTTTCTGGGCTCCACACCGACGGCTTAAACTTGTAAGATGCCAGACCAAAAGTGGGCAACGTAAGCTTCGATGGTGCAACCGATTTGCTTGAGCTTTGACCGTTCTCATTGCTTGTCGTACCTGTACAAAATTTAATATAATAGTTGTTTTATAATGAGCTTGTTTCTGGAATGCGTTCTATGTGTGTATGCAAAGATGGCTTACCTCGAGAGGGTGTTGATAAGGAGTGGAAAGTTAAAAAGCATGCGTCGAGGTTTTGTAACGATTGACCTAATGGTATTCGGTATATCGGGTACCTTCAAGAAAGCGAGAGAAGAATAAAGATTTAGATTTGGTGAAAATGAAAAATGTGTGAAATGAGAGGGATAGATAGAGTACCAAGCAACAGATACCCAACTAGAAGGCGATAGATCACAGCTCCTATATGTTCTGAGTGCTGGAAACTGTGATGACAGGTTTGAGATCTGCAATTTTAAAGGTTTAAGAATGATTATGAGTCAGAACATAACGTTTGCACCATGTTGTAAGCAAAAATAATAAAAAAAAAACTTGCCTTGTCTGACAATGGTTCACGGCCAAATGGCATGGCAGCCTCAAGATACTCAAAGACGAGGTCACCAGGAGTGTCTTCACTCTCATCACTCGAAGATCCAACGCATGGTTTCTCCTCCAAAGAGACTCTGTACAAGTTTTGAGTAATGTCTCTGCAGTCATCGCTACTCATGCCTCTAGGCGAATCACCATCACTTTCTTCCCCAGCCCTCCTATTAATAACACACATTAAAGCAAAAGAATAGTATTATTTTTATTCCTTGTTTTTGCTGCTGATCTGAATGACTAGGGAAAGTAGCATACAACGGTTTTAGAAGTTGATTTTTCCCTATCATACTATATAACAAGCATTCGAACAATGAGATAACCACGAGAAAGATGTGGCTACAATTCAGAATATGTATCAGCTTTGCCTGATATTTAGTTCAGCAGATTCTTTATGGTAATGGTTGAAACTAATATAAGAGCAAAACTCACCTTCTATTTGCAGAGGCTCTTCTTGATGGGTCCTCATAAAGCTGAATCCCAGAGAGATAAGGAACATAATACTGAACAACAGAATCAATCCCATTCAAGAGAAGAGGAACCCCAACACCGTAAGCACTCCACTCCTCAAATGAATCCCACAAATCATTCAGCAAGAAGTAACGACAGTACTCTGGTCCACGAGTTCTCCAACCCTTGGTGCTTGTCTGAATAAAATCAAACCAAACCAACATCTCATTAACAAAGCATCAAACTTGTGAGTCTTAGTTACAATCTTGAAGATCATCAAACTTTTTGATTTATAAAGAAAGGATCTTTAATTACCATAGGCAAGTATTGGGTTTGAACAAGGGGAGTGGTGCAATCGAGAAACCGCCCCAAATTGGACCCGACCCGACCCGGGACAGAGCAATCGGATGTGGAGCACTCATCAGGAGGAGCGGATAAAGGTTGCTTCTCCTTGTGTCGATCGAGTATCTCCTTGGCCTTCTCTTCTTCGAGTCTCTTCTTCTCGCGCTCCTGTTGCAGTTTCCTGATCGGGGGAGGGTTGTAGAACCGATTCTCGCCCCGGATCCTACGGGTTGTCGACATTCTTCACGCCCGAAATGAAGAGGAAGTAGTTTGCGGTGATCGTACGCACGCACGCGTCTTTGTTGTCTTCTTCTTCTTCTCCTTCTTCTTCTTTATCAAAGCAGTTTGAAAATATAAAGGCTTCCTTTCCTCCTTTCCTGTCTGTCTGTCTGTGTTTAGGGTTTTAAGATTTTTGTTATTTGTGACATTAAGAATAACATCTTTCAGTATTATGTTGGAGATTGATGGACTTTGTTTGTCGATAGAATTTATTTTAATTTATTAGTGATCTTTTATATTCCTCTAAATGATTACAATAATATCTGAACCAATTATTATTATTTTATTAATGATTTGGAAATAAATAAAATTTTGGTAATTCATTAATATATGCATCCTTGACTCTTTTATGTTTTTTTATTTATATCCAGTCTAATATACAAATTTTAATGATTAGTTTCACAACTTGAACTTTGAGATCCAAAAGACCTATTCTGAAACTAAAACCATGTTTACAAATTTAATACTTTTGTTTTAATTTATCAAAACAATCAAAGATGTTTTGAGAATTGAGATGGAAGTTGACAAATGTTTTAATATAGTTGTTGTAAGAATATATATATAGATATATTTTTTATTATTATTTGAATTACATCGCAGTTGTTTTGTAAATGTCCTGCATGTTAACATTTGAAGCATATATACATGTGCAAATAACTCAAATGATGAAACTAGAATATTAGTGTTTTCAACTAACACTAGATCATGACCCGCCCGACTGGGTGGGTATTTTGTTTTCTTTTAATTTTTAGGTTTATACTAAATGATGTAAAATAAAAAATGAAGTATAATTAAATGGTTACAAATTACTTATGGGTTTAATTTTGACAGAAGAATACCAAAAAGTTTGCTGTTTGAACCGCGCAAGTGTTTGTTTTTATATATTTTATAACTGATTATATATTTATCTAAATTTACCCGTTTAAATAATTGTTTAAAATGACATTTTAAGCACACAATTTTATAGTTTATATTGAGTAATGTTATTTTATCTTATAAACTATCATTGTGTCATACTTATTTTAAAAATATGACCCGTATATCTGCACAAATGTTTTTATTTTATTTTTATGGATCAAAATTTTATGATAATGTATAACTAAATTGTTTTATTTACTATTTAAAATACATGGTCCTATATATTTATACTTTTCTAACTTTTATTATTCTGAATTTACCTTGAACTATTATTTATATAAAAATATACATAACATGATATGTTTATATTATATAAATGTTTCTTTTTGTGACTTTTATTTTAGTTATTACTTATAAATAATAAAAATATAATTATATATCTTTGAAAAAAAATACTGTTCATTAACTATTTAAAGATATGTAGATAATTAATAAGAAAAAAATCCTTAAAGGTAGGTTAATTAATATTGGAATTAATTATTATGTATATAGAATTAGTAAAACAATTTCTATATAATTTATTTATTTAATTATGAAAGGTATATATGAAAATAATTATTTTTATTAATTATTGTTGTCATAATTTTTTTTAGTTAAAATTTGATTTTGGAAATGCATTAATTAAAGTGAAAAGACAAAGAATCCTATAAAATATGGTAATTAATAACTTCAGTGGCATAACATTGTAAATAATTAGAAAAACTCAGGAGTATTTTATATGGGTACTTCTCTTTTAATAATATAGATATATTCATTCATTAACGAAATGAAAATATTGGGAAAGTACATATTTTCTACGTTTCAGTTTATTTGGTGTTTTAAAAAATTTATTTCATTTCAAATAATTGATATTTTATTTAATGTTGTTTGAGATTTGCAATCAGTTACAAAATATCACATTTTTATTGTTGGTTGAACTGCTTTATTTTAACGATGTTTTATAAAACTAAGATAAATTGTGTAAAATTTGTATTTTCTAAATTTATGTGCATAACCTTAAATCTTAAATAAACTGAAATATAGAGAGTAATTATTTAATACTTCATCAATTTCAATTTAAATGTCGTGTAAATATTTTTCTGTAAAAAAAGTAAATGTCATTCTATGATTTCAATATATTTTGTATCCCTAACTGAATTAAACATAATAAATACTATATAATGTCAAATGTCTTAGAAAAACAAAACCAAAATTTTAACTATTACTTTACTTTGTGTCCAACAACCTAGAACGATGTATAATTTGAAACGGAATAAGTAACCTCGAGCATCAAAATAAAAGATGAAGTAATTATGTTATTGTAGTTCCATCTTCAATAATGCAGTTTTGTTTGTTTAATGATATTTGAATCAAACAAAATAATCTACGAAGTGTATATCAATTGTTTATTCAACTAAAAATTTAAGGTGATTTTTATTAATATGACAAGTAAATTGTTATTCAAACGTGTATTTAAGAAATATTTTTAAAATCTAATGTTATTGATTTTATTATTTCATAAAATACTCTGAAATCTACTTTTATTAAACATTCAGGTTGAAAATTTGATTTAATTATTCTAGAGTGGTGTTAAAAAACTTGTTCTAGAGTGTTTGAAAGGGATATTTCAGCCATAAAAATAAAAATGCAAATCTATAGTTTTCAATGAGATTTAAGGGTAGTTAACAAAAACACACACCAAATTCTCTAATTCACATACAATCATCTAAATACTCATTAAAAATCAAATCACTTCAACTTTCAGATTCATAAAAATGTCATTTAAATGGTTTTCAGACATATTATAAAATTTATTTTACTTTCTAGGCACACGATAAATAAATTTCTTTTTTGAAAAAAACACATTTAGATAGTAAGAATAATTTTTTTATTTAAATTATATGAGAATGTACAGTGGCATTCTTTAGCAAACAAAAACAAAATCCTTAAACAGCAATCATTTATAAATAGAGAGAGTATAGCTTCTTCAAACTGCAACTTACAACTGGATAACTCGTCAAAATTTGTGCATTTTTAGTTTCACGCAGTTCACTGATTTTAGAATTGAGATAGAAATTGGTTGATTTTGTTGTTCGAAAATATTATTTTAGTTAAAAATTTAATGTGTATATATCCATAAAATGATGAAAGGATGATTTGTATTGATCATAGGATGTACATATTTATACAAAGAACGTATGTGAAAGAATGGAAAGAGAAAGAATAGTAAAAACAATAAATCGATACAGACTTGATATGCAAGTAACGACTTGATATGCAAGTATTCTTCTTTCCTTAATAGGTGGGACCAGTATGCATTTCTTTAGTTTCTTCTTCTGGAAACTGTTTTTCCTTTCATTTTCACTCTTTCTTTTAATAACATGTGTTCTGGATCTGGTCAAATGAAAATGAAGAAAGGATGTTGGTTGAATTTAAACCGGTTTGACTCTGGTCAGATGAATTATTAAATTGGACCGGAATTAACCGGACTTAACCAGGATAAAAATGAAAAACAAGCCACAAATTTAAACATCTCGATTCATCACTTGTTGAAACTGCTCCTCGTACTATCTTCATCACTTTGCACTCTTTTCTTCTTTTCATAAATTTCATCACTTATCTTCTTTTCATCTTAGCTTCTTTACATTCCATTTTCTTTCTATTTCTTTCACTTCTCTTCACCCTCTATCTTTTCTTTTCTCTTCTCTCTTCTCTCTTTTCTTTAACTCTCAAGAACCTAAGGACACCAAAGATGAAGTTTATCTTCTTGTTCTTCCTCATATTATTGGGTTTTACTGAAGTCTATCCCACACCTAAACTTTCCCTCCAAGAAGGTATTCCATTATTTATTTTTTATAAACATATTTTATGTAACTCTCTAATTTGTGTATATTTGACTAATTTAACTTTCAAAACAGTTTGATGTGCTAAAGGTCATTGCCAAAACGAAGAAGAAGACAAACTGGAACTTCAGTGTTGATCCATGTGATACAACATCAACACAAGGTGGATGGAGAAATTCAAATGCGATAAATGGGTCTGAAGACTTTGTGAGTTGTAATTGCACCTTTGACAACAACACATTGTGCCATGTCACTGGAATGTAAGTAATTTCTTTGTTTTACAATAGTATCATCTAATATATGGATAATGACATGAAAATTTTGAACCAATGTAGAGTTATCAAGACACATGATCTTTAGGGTTCTCTTCCAAAAGAGCTTGCTAGTCTTCCTTTTCTGCAAGAGCTGTAAGCAAAATACAAACACAATTAGATTTTTCTACCATTGCAAGCAAATCAATTTTCACTCCTAATTTGCAGGAACCTAGCCAGAAATTTCTTATATGGTTCAATACCAGCAGAATTTGGAGTCTTACCTCTTGTTCAGATGTAAGAAAACAAAGCATTTTGGTACATATTTGTGTAATATGTTTGATTTTATTTCTTCAAATGCAGGATACTTTTGGGAAATCGGTTAACTGGTACAATCCCCAAAGAGATTGGAAACATTGCCTCTTTAGAAAGACTGTGAGTAGCTCATTTCTCATTTTATTTGATTTAGTTCTAGACACTGTTGGTTTAGTTTTGTTTGCAAACATATACGTTACTTCTTAAACGCCTTTGTAAACAACCAGCGAAATATACTTAAACATTCTTCCTCTAAAACATTTCAGAGCTCTTTCAGCTTCTTTATAGAGTTTAATGAACCAATTCAATTCAATACCTCCATCTCAATATACATAAACATTCTTCCTCTGAAACCGTTCCAAAGACCTTGCAATTTTCTTTCCAGAGAAACCAACAGCTCAAACTCTAACCCAAACAAAAACTTGTAACACACGTAATACAATCTTGGCTTAGCGTGAAACTCTTCTCTTTAATGCTGTCTTACAAAGTCATAAATTCACCTGAGACAGCTAATCACTAGCTCTCTCTGCAACTAGAATCCATATTTCAACACGTCTCATAGATTTATCTCCAACTAGCTAATAAACAAACTCCGTCTGAATATGCTACACGTTCTGTAACATCAACTGCTCCACTTGGACTAACAGCCATTCATGAGTTCATACACCGTCACCTTCACTCTCTTTTACTTGGAACTCACTTCTTGTCCGCCACTTGAACTAGTTTCTTAGTTATACCAAAAATAAATAAAAACAGAACCTTGCAGCTGCAACAGGATCACTTATATGATCC